GTACTCACCCGTCCGCTCCCACAGAACCTCCTACCTCCGTACTCACCGTCCGCTCCCACAGAACCTCCTACCTCCGTACTCACCGTCCGCTCCCACAGAACCTCCTACCTCCGTACTCACCGTCCGCTCCCACAGAACCTCCTACCTCCGTACTCACCGTCCTCTCCCACAGAACCTCCTACCTCTCGTACTCACCGTCCGCTCCCACAGAACCTCCAACCTCCGTACTCACCGTCCGCTCCCACAGAACCTCCTACCTCCGTACTCACCGTCCGCTCCCACAGAACCTCCTACCTCCGTACTCACCGTCCGCTCCCACAGAACCTCCTACCTCCGTACTCACCGTCCGCTCCCACAGAACCTCCTACCTCCGTACTCACCGTCCGCTCCCACAGAACCTCCCTACCTCCGTACTCACCATCCTCTCCCACAGAGCCTCCTACCTCCGTACTCACCGTCCGCTCCCACAGAACCTCCCTACCTCTGTACTCACCATCCGCTCCCACAGAACCTCCTACCTCCGTACTCACCGTCCGCTCCCACAGAACCTCCTACCTCCGTACTCACCGTCCGCTCCCACAGAACCTCCCTACCTCCGTACTCACCGTCCGCTCCCACAGAACCTCCCTACCTCTGTACTCACCATCCGCTTCCACAGAACCTCCTACCTCCGTACTCACCATCCGCTCCCACAGAACCTCCTACCTCTGTACTCACCATCCTCTCCCACAGAACCTCCTACCTCCGTACTCACCATCCTCTCCCACAGAGCCTCCTACCTCTGTACTCACCATCCTCTCCCACAGAACCTCCTACCTCTGTACTCACCATTCGCTCCCACAGAACCTCCTACCTCTGTACTCACCATCCGCTCCCACAGAACCTCCTACCTCTGTACTCACCATCCGCTCCCACAGAACCTCCTACCATTGTACTCACCATCCGCTCCCACAGAACCTCCTACCTCTGTACTCACTGTGGGACAGGGAAGGAACAGATATCTGCGGGTGCAGTGTGCAGTGTGTTTAGGGGCGGGGCATCTCCTCCTGCAGCCTAATGCATGGAAGTCGATGCCCCAGGGGTGATCAGCGGCCAGTGGGGAAGAGGCGGAGCGGTGAGTAAGTGCGCTTGGTGCACTGTGTGGGAAGATAGGACCCGAAATGGGAGTTACTATAGAGAGGAGCCGGCTGCTGACAGCTGTGTTTTGCAAAGCTAGCTAACCATATGAGGGCAGTGGGGGGGAGGGGGGATCTGCAAAGGTGAGCTGCAGTCAGGTGTGCAGAGGTAAATGAGTCAGGTGAGTTGCAGACAGGGTGCATAGGTGAGCTGCGGCTGGGGGGGTACAGAGCTGAGCTGAGTTGCAACCCACCTTTGCACCCCCCAGCCACAGCTCAGCTCTGCATCCCAAGTCTGCAACTCTCTCCTGCACCCTGTCTGTGGCTCATCTCTGCACACTGTCTGTGGCTCATCTCTGCACCCTGTCTGTGGCTCATCTCTGCACCCTGTCTGAAACTCACCTGTCAAGTCACCTCTGCAACACCTGACTGCAGCTCACAACTGTCATCAACCGTCCCTCTCTATAGTAACCCTCATCCACAACTGCCTGCAGCTCACCTCTGCACCCCCTGTCCACACCTGGACATTTAAAAAATAAGACCTACCCCGAAAAAAAAGACCTAGTGTGTTTTTTTGAGCCAACAAATATAAGACTGTGTCTTATTTTTAGGGAAAAACACGGTATTTATGGTGGAGCATCTGTAATTTTTATGATGGAGCATACTGTGATATTTAAAGTGGAGAATTCATATTTATGGTGGAGCATGCATAATATTTATGGTGGAACATCTGTAATATTTATTGTGGAGCATCTGTAATATTTATGCTGAAGCATCTGTAATATTTTTGGAGCATACTGTAATATTTGTGGTGGCGCATGCTGTATTCTTACCATCCCTTGTGCCATGTCTGCAGTCTCTGACAGTCTCCTGCACTATGTCTGCAGTCTCTGACCATCTCCTGTACTATGTCTGCAGTCTCTGACCATCTCCTGTACTATGTCTGCAGTCTCTGACCATCTCCTCTACTACTCCTGCAGTCTCTGACCATCTCCTGTGCTACTCCTGCAGTCTCTGACCATCTCCTGTACTATTTCTGCAGTCTCTGACCATCTCCTGTACTATGTCTGCAGTCTCTGACAGTCTCCTGCACTATGTCTGCAGTCTCTGACCATCTCCTGGACTATGTCTGCAGTCTCTGACCATCTCCTGGACTATGTATGCAGTCTCTGTCCATCTCCTCTACTACTCCTGCAGTCTCTGACCATCTCCTGTACTACTCCTGCAGTCTCTGACCATCTCCTGTACTATTTCTGCAGTCTCTGACCATCTCCTGTACTATGTCTGCAGTCTCTGACCATCTCCTGTACTATGTCTGCAGTCTCTGACCATCTCCTGTACTATGTTTGCAGTCTCTGACCATCTCCTGTACTATGTTTGCAGTCTCTGACCATCTCCTGTACTACTCCTGCAGTCTCAGACCATCTCCTGTACTAACGGCAATAACCTCTAGCAACCAATCAGTGAGAGGTAATGTGCTGTAACCTCTAGCAACCAATCACTTAGTTCGGACCAGTTCTTTATGTTTATATTAAAGTTATTTTTTTTTAGATAAGTCTTTGTGTGTGTTCATTTGTTTTTTGGGCTGTTGGGGTGGACAGCCTTTAAGCCACACCCAACAGTTAGAGTAAATTAAGCCACGCCCACTTGTTGGCTCAGAGTGCTTCGCCATATTTTTAATCTCCAAGCCACACCCACAATTGATGCCCCCAACCCTAATTTACATATCACTCCGCCTACACTGGCTTTCTGGACATACAATTTAAAAAAAAGCATCCCTAAATTTTTTTTGAAATGTTGGCAACTATGGACCATGGGAACTGACATCTTCACTGCAATGCCTTTGCTGAGCTGGAATGAGTCAATTTATAAGGATTTCTGACTTTTCTCTGACATTTCTTTGCAGCATTCTGTTTCTGGGCATATGACTCACAAGCACTGATGCCAAACAAATAAGCATCTAGAATTTTCAGAATGAGGTCAACAATTTCAGCTCCTGTATTTGTCTCATGACAGACACCCAAGAACGGAAAGGTATTTCTTGCCACTGATTTTCCTGATGCATGCTGAATCCTAAATATGAAGATTAACTTTGAGTGATGAGACTGAGTACAAATCTGCACTCAGACAAGCTTCAAAAGGGATATTGGCTGCAAGGCAGGCCCACGTTGATGCTGCAGTCCGTATTTGCTTGCATATCACCACTCCCCACCCAGCAATACTGAGGCAAACTCACCTAATACTATGTTGTTGGAAAAAAACTTGTGCAAACATAAAAAGTATAGACAAATACAGCAACTGCCAATGTAGAATTTAAAGCTATGATCTCAATGCTACAATGTGGCAGCTCTTACTACTGGTCAAAAAATTTGTTACCCAGACATATTGGTACTTGTACTGTATGTAGGTCTTACATTGCCATTAAAGTGGTATTAAATCCCAAAACAAAAATGTAATATTGCAGCTTAACAATTCTTATATGTAGTGGCTGCATTAGTTTTCTTTTTTAAGGCTTTTTCTTCATTTCACCTGGTGATCCAGACAGTAACACACTTCCTGCCTTAGGATATCTGCATTCTGGATGAAGTAGTAAAGCAGGCACCTTTGGACAGCAGTATTGTCAATCTCGAGGGAGGGTAGTATTAGACTAGCAGATTTAGATAAAAATGAAGATAAACTCCAGGTAACACATTATACAGTAAGTTGTTACAGCAAAAAATCTTTTCCTTTTGGAATAAAGTTACATAAAGGAATAAAAGCTGACCATTGTAAGCACCCTTGTCAGTGGTAAATAGTTTGTCTCAACCATCTACTTGCACTGTCTGGACAGCTTGGGCTGGTAAAGTAAGTTGAAAAAACAAACTTACTGGCCAGATCACCAGGTGAAAATAAAGGAAAGTGCCTAAAAAAAGAAAAAATAATGCAGCCACCACATCTATGGATTGGTAAGCTGCAATTGAATAACCTTCTGCATGCAGCTCCCCCTGCAGCCCCCCTTAAACACATAAACACATACCTGATCCCAATCTCGATCCAGTAATGTGCACGACAGCCAAGGCTCTCTTGGCTCTCTCACTCATTGGCTCAGATTCAGCAGCAGGAGTCATTGGCTCCCACTGCTGTCAATTGGAGCCAGAGACTGAGGGAGCCGGGGGCAGGGCTGACCCCCACTCTGTGTATCTTATGAACACACAGAGCGGAGCTCGGGAGTAAGCACACACAGGTGCCCCCATATCAAGCAGCTTACTATGGGGGCACCTAGTGAGGGGTAGGAGTCAGGACCTCTGGCAAGAGACTCCAGAAGAGGAGAATTATGGCTGCTTTGTGCAAAACCATTGCATAGATCAGGTAAGTATAACATGTTTGTTATTTTAAAACAAAAACTGAACCATTAATATTACGTTAATCAACATTGAGTTTTTTTTCTTTTCTTTTTTGTAGTCAAAAGCAGAGAAATGTACTGTAGACAGACTCTTGATCTGGAATACCATCAACTTTAGGAAATAAAATGAAAAAATGTCTTTTTTTAGTTATACTGAATCATGAAAATGGTCTATTTTTTATCACAGTTATGTTTTGTGCTCAGTTAGTTTTTATGCTCTGAGAACTGATTTTGGCTCCTTGTGAATACCACACGTTTTCTGTGTTTCTTAAAAGGTAATATAAAACACACTAACTCATAATCCAGAATTTATCTTAATACAGATCTGCAAACTAGAATTGGTTGCCACAAGTTGCTGGAACACTGGCCATGATCGTTACTGTTTGCAGTGTTTTTTATTTTGTTATGAAAAGTATCACTGATCTTCCATGAGAAAGCAACCAAAGTGACTACTTTCAGACTAAGTGAAGGAATGACATATATAGTGGGCTGCTGATTGTTACCTGAATGACGTGAATGGAGCCATTGAAAGTAAATTCAGCTGTGAAGAGTATAGCACATTTCTCCTCTGTGACTGATTCAGATCCCTTCCTCTCACATCGCTTTATCTTCTTTAGCAACTGTCAGCAAGAAAAACAGGAGTTACACAGCAAAAATTTAGGCACTGACTCTTCATAGTTTTTATGCCTTTTACGCCAGTGTGGTATCTCTTCTGGAACAGCCACATGACCAGCAGGTAAGTAATCAATGATATATATTTACTACTCCACTGATCACCACTGTATCCACACACTTCACCTCCTGCCTCTTAAACAATGCATTTCTCCACTGATTATCATTGCACCTGCACAGTTTCAGTGTACGCCTTCGCTAACTGCTAATGCACATATGTGCTTGTTCCCTGATACCTTCCAGTGGGACTGTTTTGGTACCACTGGAAAAGTTCTGATCACTGTTGAGCTGCTTGGTGCAAAACCTCACTGTGGGTACAATGGTGGTGAAGTGTTGGTGTTGTGCTATGGTTTTGGGCTTTTTTTCTCAGAGGAAAGGTGGTGGAACTCCCCCACCCAAACCTGGCCACGCCCCCATCAAACCCTAGGACCACCCCTTTAGAGAACAGGAATGCAAGTAAAATTTGGGAGGGGCTTCCGATGACATCATTTCCCGTACATACCATATAAGGGAAATGATGTCATCGGACCCCCGGCTCCTCTTGCATGATCTGCATGAAACACATGCATGATCCCCCTTAAAATGACTAATGTACATGTATGACACCAGAAAACACATGCATAGATATAAAATGACTAATGTACTGACAGCCAGAAACAAACATAGGAATACCGTTTGACACCAGAAAACAGCATAATATTTACCGTACTGCACCAGAAACACATGCATAGATATTTGACTAATGTATGACACCAGAAACACATGCATAGATATTCAGTACCGTACTGACACCAGAAACACACGTAGATATAAAATCTACCTACTGACACCAGAAACACATGCATAGATATAAAATCAGTACGTACTGACACCAGAAACACACGCATAGGTAAAATCAGTACCGTACTGACACCAGGAACACATGCATAGATATAAAATTCATGGCAGGCCGTTTGTAAACGTCCAGCATAGATATAAAATCAGTCTAGCATGCATGTGTACCCTGTCTGGTAGATGTGCCTGCTCCTACAGGCTCCCCTAGGGTTGCCACCTTTTCCTCCAAAAAATACCGTCCATCACTGAATTTATCTTTCCTGTTCCTCATGCACAGGAGGGGCGCTCTCGATCGGCGCCGCTGCGCTGAGCAATTGCGTTCAAATAGTTTAGGTGGGCTCAGGTGGGTGAGGATAGTTTAGGTGGGCTCAGATAGTTTAGGTACAGGTGGTTGGGATAGTTTAGGTGGGCACAGGCTGGGGAGAGAGTAAAAATTTAGAGCAATACATGATACTGCAGTCAGTGACCCTGCAGCTTACCTACTTCAGCTGTACGGCCCCTGCGTCCAGTGTCACTGCCGTTGATGTCGCCGCCGCCGCCCCCGATGTTTACACGCCGGCGGGGGGGGGGCGGTGAAATAGTGTCCTCGCCCATCGTGATGTTTACACGCTGGCGGTAGAGGGGGGGGGGGGTGAAGCGTGCATGTCCCCGCTCACCGGCTGTGAGCAGCGGCAGTGACAGGTGCCGGGCACGCGCAAGCATGACATAAACAACGCGTCCGGCACCTGTCACTTTCGCTGCTCTGCATAGCTTGTCAGCTCTGCAGAGGCAGTCGGTGAGCGGGGACAATGGTGGTGAAAGTGCCGCGTTCCGGCAGAAAGTGCTATGGTTTTAGGTTGCTCAACTACTTACAAAACTGAAAGTTTGCTAGTTCATCAGATGATTAGAATTTAAGTGTGTGATGAGGAGCCCCTAGTACAGATAGTCATACAACTTAACAGTCTTTTTTGGCTAAATGACTGGGTACACGTAATGTGTTTTTGGGGCAACTATACCTTGCCAGGTTCCACTAACTAAACCAGTTGCAACAAGAGCTGGACGAGGCCTATTGGGAAACCCCCTATAATCAAACATCAGTCTCCATATCACAAACTAACTTTTGTTAAGTCACAGTGCATTCCCCAAAGTCCAAAACCCTAAAAACAAATTGGCTATATATACCATTATAACCAATAAAGCTGTTAAACAAACAGTTGAGTTGTGCAACTGTGTGTACTACAAACTTCTTACCACATATTCACTAATGTGCATTTCTCCAACAACGTCAACTGCATTGATATGCACTTCTCCATTGTTCACTAATGCAATAGTACACCATGTAGCACAAACTGCTATGCTACGCACCCTATATAGTCACTAGAATACTGAAATCACGCCACTAGCATTATCAATTCTATATTTCTTTCCATTAAATTCCATTTTCAAAGCACAAAAAATGGCACGTTAGACAAGCTGATATGCTTAAATCATACCATATTTTTAAAAACAGCTCCACATGTCCGCGTGGCTTTGGTGAACTCAAAAACAGATCTTCCGTTTTCTATCTCTCCAGCACCATCACTGAGATCAAAAACAGAGAATGAATTCTAGGTTGTTTTTAAAAAAGTTTTTTTTGGTTGTTAGTTCTTATTTTTTGAATTCCATACAAGCAGAACAGGGTGATTGTAGTGTTTGCAATTTTACTCACTTTAATGACTCAATGGAAGATCCCCCAAACAAGTCTTGTGCCTTTTTCTCAGTAATGATATAGGCTCTTATGACAGGCATCTTGCTTGCACCAGAAAGAATTTTGGACCCCAGCATGAAGTTGACACTGGCTTGAAACTTGGTCTGTGTCTTCAAAACCTGAGGTGGCTGCTTGTCAACCAGAAATGAGCTACAGAAATGAAACCAAAAGAGAAAAAAACAGAACACATTGATGATATAGACATTATGGCTATTTATTTATTGTTTTTAAATTTTTTTTTAGTCCTCGGTCACACCGATCCTTCTTTGAAATCATGCAACTTCCAGTGAAGTAGCACAATTTCAAAGTTGGATGTCATTCCGACTTGAGGTATGACTTACAAGTCATCTGTAGCGTGCAAGACACAGATGTCTATGCAAGCCGCCCCTGAAGTAGTGCATGCACTACTTTAAAAATTGGTGCGGCTCTGACCAAGTCGGAATCCCACCTCTATGACCGCTTTATAGGGTGTGACTTGCCATGCAATTTGAAACTCTCATGGCATGGCAAGTTGCTTGGCAAGCCACACCCGGTATGACTAGGCACTTATGCAGCTAATATATGTATACAGTTCTATCATTATTTGGTTTTTGAACTTTTTACTATAGGTTAATAAAAGGTGATACATAGAGATTTTTATTTAGATTTTGTATACAGGTTGATATGTAAGTTTAGTTGCAAATTAAAAAGGTGTTGCAGAAGCAGCTGGAATAATAGTTGGATTAATCTCTCCTAGACATCACCAGGATTGGATATGATGTTAATGTTTTCTGGTGGTCTCCAGAGTAGGCCTTTCTACATATGTGGCAAAAGTAGAGTTTAGCAAATGTGTAATGATTGCCCTCTAGTGTATTGAAATCAAAATGTGATGGTTACATAATGTGTAAAATATGTATTTTGATGCAATATACACATGAGTATTGATTCCAGGGAAGGTCACCTATAACTCGAGCATTTAATGATTCTTGGATACACAGCCTGACACTAGATACCATCTTCCCTGGGACATCTCTCTGCATGTGCATAACACTCCTTGGCTTTACTTAATACCACAATACAAAGACCGATGGCACACAGTTACTGAAAGATAAATAAAATAATACCAAGTCTTATCGTTTATTACAATGGTGTACCTAGCACACCTAACACCTGGGGCCATTTTTTTTTTTGTACAGACTAGCTACCCCACAAGAAAAAAATTGGTGAGACAAAATAAGGTAACGCCCTTTGCACGCTACGCTGAACTGTGGGTGTGGCCAATTTGTGCTAACAGTGAGAGGGGAATAGTTAAGTAACACCTGAGGGATGTTCAGGGATTAATTCAGGGAAATAGTTAAATAACACCTGAGCCTACTCTACCTTTACTCAGCACACACTCACCACAGTCCTTTTACCCACAAAATATGCTTTATTGACTGTTACACCAGGGGCTCACTCACTCGGTTTGTAAAACCCTGCAGCTGAACTGCTTTTTTACCTCCCAATCCACTATTCCCTTCATAGCTGCAGAGATGTCATGGCTGTGATAATTTGCTTCACGGCCGTGGGAGGAATGATACCCCTTGCCACTTTCCATGAATGGTGCTGCTTTGCAAGCGGCCTGCAACTGCAAGCAGGATTCAAGGGGTTAAAGCAAGCAGTGAAGAGGTGATACAACCTCACCGCCTGTCAAATGCCCTCTGAAGAGCAATCTTATTCAGAGACCATAGTCTGCTTGAAGAAGACCTTCAAACCTCAGCACAGATACTTACAAACCTCAGCACACAGCTGACCTTAGAGAAGAACTTCAGGAGTAATGTACTTAGAGTGCAGGAGTATGAAATTTAAACCACAATGGGGGTAATTTATCAAAACTAGAGCAGACAGAATCTGGAGCAGCTATGCATGACAACCAAGCAGCTTCTGTCTTTACCTTGTTCAGTTATGCTGACTGGTTGCCATGCCCAGCTGCTCCAGTTTTAATAAGTTGTCCCAAGTGATGTAGCGCCTTCCTAGTTAGAATAAGCTGATAGGCCAAATTTAGTTTTAGCTCTACTGAAATCAGTGGAGCATGAGTTGATTAACTGAAGCTGCTCAGGTTTTCACAGGCTGCTGCTCTGCTACTTCCTCCTTCCTTCTAGAAATTTCTAGAACATAGTGGGAGGAAGGGCAAAGGCTGAAGCCTAAATTTTTATGGGACGTCAGCCAATTCCTGAGGAGGTGTTTACCCAGAAGGTGGTGAAGAGCCCATAAATATTCTGAAGTCTGAGCAGTGGCAGCTTGCAGCATGAGGGAGCCTGCAGGAGGAGACCTCTGTTGAGGAAGGCAGAATCTGAGGGAAGGAAGTCAGCATGAAGACACCGAGGTCTCAGCTAGGCTTAGCTGGAAATTCTTTGCAACTTTGCTGGAGAGTGCAGCCAGCAGTTGTGCAGTACAGCCAAGCAGTTGTGGAATACAGCCAGGAGTTGTACAAGTGCAGCCAAAGTTTGTGCAAGGCTTTTCAGAAGCTGCGCAAAGCAGTCAAATTTAGCAGTCCTCAACATGTTCAAGTTCATGTCTTACAGTTCTGAGGTATCCCATTCTCCCTATCCGTATTAAAGTTCATCGCTCCACAATAAAAACAAAATAAAAAAGAAACCTCTATCTAGACTGATTCTTGAGCCAGTGAAAGAGTGTTGTGTGCCTGGCTGTGTGTGCTCTAGAGTGCAGGGGTCAGCAGTGTGGAGCACTTTACAGAGTACAACAAAAATGGCTTCCTTTTTCCCAGTACAAATAGCCTCTCCAGGCCTAAACCTCTACAGTACAGATTTCCCTTAACATCCCTAAATACCCCCTCCCAGCCTACCCGCTCAGCACAGATCCCCCCAGCACAAACTTCTCAATACAGAATCCCCCAGCACAAACCCATCAGTACAGATTCCCCCCTAACCCAGACCCCTCAGTACAGTCAGACCCCCCCAGGACAGTCGGACCCCTCCCCCCAACACAGACTCCTCAGTACAGACTGACACCCCTATCACAGTCCAATCCCACCAACGCATACTCCACAGAGAAAACCCATCTCTCACACAGACCCCTCCATACAGTCTGATCCCCCCCAGCACAGTCCAACCCCTCCCCTCCAACACAAACCTCTCAGTACAACCGACCCCTTCCAGCACAAACCGACCCCCCAACACAGACCCCTCAGTACTAACTCCCCCAGCACAGGCCCCTCAGTACAGTCGGACCCCCTCCAGCAGTCTAACCATGTCCCCCAACAAAGACCCCTCAGAACAGACCAACCCTCCAACACATACCCCCCAGTAAGGCAGCCAACCCCCAGCACAAACCAACCCCACATCACAGACAACCACCCCCCAACACAGTCCCCTCAGTAATAATGCCCCTCAACACAAACCCCACAGTACAGACTGACCCTCCTAATGTTTCTAAATCCCCCATCCCAGACAACATTCCCCAGTACAGACATCCTCCATACCCCCCAAGTACAGTATCCTCAGTACAGAGACCCCCTATCCCCCCAAGTACAGGCCCTCAGTACAGACCCCCCCCCCCCAGTACAGACGCTCAGTACATACACCCCTATAACCCCCTCTATCCAAGTTCAGAACCTCAATACAAACACCCCCTGTAACCCCCACTCAAGTATAGACCCTTAGTAGAGACATTTTAACCTCCCCAATGCACTATACACCAGATCACTCACCAGACAGGTGAGAGCTCACATTGGGAGGAAGTTCTGCTCTCTCCTCTCTGCCATATGACTGGAGAGTGGAGGAGATTTGTGACCACTTTGAGCTTCCCTGCTGCTGCTACAAAGCAGCAGCTGTGGATGCAGCTGGGGTGCCGGCTGACATTTCTTCATTTGACCTGCATGGTGCTGCGGTAGAAGAGATAGCAGTGCAGTGCCATGCAATGCAACCCAAATAAAGAAATGCCAGCCAGTACCCCTCCACACCCCCCTCGAACGCCACTGGTTTATTAGTTCACAGATGCTTGTGCAATCACATTAATAAAAGGAAATTTGATGTAGGCTTTAACTGATCGCTAAACTTTACAGTGATGCAGTTAAAGGATAAGTTCACCTCTCATAACATCTTACACTCATATTCAGGGTATATAACATGTAACATGTTATGGATAGACTGGCCACCGCTCCCCTGCTTTGACAGCTAGCTGGGGATCTTCTCCTCCAGCTAGCTGCCAAATTAAAAACATTGTGCGGGGATCCGCCTGCTGGGCGGCTTTACTCACTCACAGTTCTCTGTGAATGAGAAACTACAAGTCCCAACAGCCATAGTGGCTATTGGCTTGTAGTTCTCAATGAACTATAAGTGAACTACAAGTTCATTGATTCTTCCTGTCAGTATATCTGCTTGCCAGTACATCCCATATGGGCAAGCAGATATACTGACAGGTCTGCAGGAGACCTGCATGGCACCAGCAATCTGCTGATCACTAGTGCAATGGTTTACAGTCTCCTGCAACAGAAAGTAATAAATGCATGTCTTTTTTTACCTGCAAAGAAATTTGCATTTTTTTTATTTTTTAGCAAAAGGTGAACTTATCCTTTAAGTAGCATGCATACAATATTTATTAGAACCCTGGTGCTCAACCTGTAGCCCTTTGGAACTTTTTGTAAAACCCTTGAGGCTCCTGTGGACACTAATCAGTGTTTCTCAATTGCCCTATTTAAGCAGTTTTTTCTAGCATGCAATACGTCTCCAGTCTTTAACGGTCTCCTTAAGATTGTCACCAGTCTCCAACAATACAGTCCCTGACTATCTTTTGTATAATGGCTGCAGTCTCTGAAAATCTCCTGTATTGTGTCCACAATCTCTGACCATCTCTTGTATCATGGCTGCAGTCTCTGAAAATCTCCTGTATGGTATCCACAGTCTCTGACCATCTCTTGTATCATGGCTGCAGTCTCTGAAAATCTCCTGTATTCTGTCCACAGTCTCTGACCATCTCTTGTATCATGCCCATAGTCTTTGACTATAGACTGTTGTGTGTCTGCTGTTTCTGACACTGAATATTCACTGAATTTTATGTGTGGGGAAGTCAAAGGCCACTCTTGAGGCCCCCCCCCCATATCAAAAAAGTTGACTGCTACTGTGTTTTAGACATTAGTTACACATCATCTGGTACCTTTCGATCTGACAGGATCAGAGAACAATGAAGGTGGTCATACAGTATGAATGAGAACAACAAACTACCTTGGGCTATCAATGCAGAGATTGAATAAGCAAACGTAAAAATGATTATCCCTTGAAAATATTTTCTACAATGAGAAGACAAAGTAAAGTAACTTTATTATTTAAAGCAGACATCCAGTCAATAACTATATGTGAAGAATGTATTTATCTACCTTAATCTAATTTTTGCACTGTATATTTTATTTCAGTTAGGAGAGCTTCACTATTTTTTTTCATATATTATTCAAATTGTGTTGTGGTTACATTAATAGCGGCCACAGTTCCATTATATAATTTGTTTTTTTTTTTCTGTAACAGCTGGTATTGTATTGTGTGTTTGGTGCTTTGTGACAGTTTTGTAGTACCATGGGGATTCTCAATATATTTTAATTTACTGGTTGAAAATCTTCACACAGTAAACTGGGTGAATATTCAACTCAATTATCTAATCATGTGACAAACAAATTCCTGTTTACCAATTTCATCAGCCTGTGATTGGGTAACTAAAATGAATATTCTCAACTGAGTCAATCCAATATCTCTAATGCCTGGTACACACATTAATTTTTTCTTGTTTCTCTAACCCAGTGGGCTGAACAAAAAAAACCCAGAAAGATTGCCTCACCAACCAAGAGATTTTAGTACATCAATCGCTCCCTCTGTGCCTCTGTGTTCTGACAGGGGTACTACCCTGTCTCTTCGACAAAAGCCATTCCATAGTCCAGCCTCTGTTGGAAGGACAGCTGTACAAAGGGGCTGAATGTTGGCTGGCTACTGTTGGAAGGACAGCTGTACACAGGGGCTGAATGTTGGCTGGCTACTGTTGGAAGGACAGCTGTACACAGGGGCTGAATGTTGGCTGGCTACTGTTGGAAGGACAGCTGTACACAGGGGCTGAATGTTGGCTGGCTACTGTTGGAAGGACAGCTGTACACAGGGGCTGAATGTTGGCTGGCTACTGTTGGAAGGACAGCTGTGCACAGGGGCTGAATGTTGGCTGGCTACTGTTGATCTGGCAGATACTGGCTGATATTCGACCCATGTGTACCAGTCTTTAGTCCAGATAAGTAAATAAAGAAACACCTAATCTTTATATTTTAAATAAAGAATTATGTTGTTATAGCTGGAAGGTGACCATATATATGAAGCTAAAAATCATACTTGATACAATTTCTGCTTTCTGCTGGAAAATGGTTGGTACTTTACCAAAGTTGCTGTGAATAGAAGGAATTAATGTCAGGATTTCACCAGGGAATCCTAGCACTTATTCTGTTACGGTATAATATAAGCCATTCAAAAATAATTCTTACCTTATGATAAGTGATTTAAAGCCAGCAAATATTTGATCAAGATACTCGGTGGGTAATGCTCTCTGCGCTGTCTCATTGAGTTCTCTAATCATGTGAAAAAGCTCTTCATATATGCCAAAAATGAATTCCAACCTAGACAAAAAAAACCAGAAAAAAAGCCACTGACCCTGAAGGTATAAATTATGGCCACTTTCAAAGAGAATTTAACTTTTCTTGGTTAATGCAACCCCCAGGGGGTAAAACACAGAGCAAATTTACTTTCTTGTTAACACATCTTTGGTGGCATTTGTCCAGTTATAACCTTCTTCTATTCTGAAATACAAAACTTACAGAATGCATTTTTGGTATATTAATCCCTCTCAAACCTTTGAAATATCTCTTTCACAAGACACAGGAAACTCATAAAGCCTTTTAAATACACACTGGGGGTTATTTACCAAAACTGGAGCATGCAACTCTGCATAGAAAGCAATCAGCTTCCAGGTTTTATTTGCAAAGCTCAATTGAACAAGCTGAAGTATGAAGCTGATTGGCTACCATGCACAGCTGCACAAGATTCTGAGTGCACCAGTTTTAGTAAATCTATCCCATTGGTACATTCCCTTCTTAATGCTGGCAAAAACATTGGGCTCCATTCACAAAGCGGTATTGGCCACTTTAAGAAATGTGGTAAAATACAGCTCAGCTTTTTTCATAAATGTTTTTTGGCATTCACTAAAAACACTTCTAAAGTACCGCAGGCAGTATATTTCCAAAATATGTGGTATGGGAACCATGATGTATTTTATCTAAAACTATATCCAGTGGGATACATACAGTGGAGAAGACTTAGAATCCCTGTCAGTTTTTTATTGCTAATAAAGAGGTAAAGTGGTTTTAAACCATAGAAATGTGCCAACTCACTAATCAGTGTGGTCCCTGCAGCATATGTATTAATACAAAAGAGAAAAAGGTGACTTGAATACCAGTTAAAGGGAAGCTGCTTTCACAGGACACATGTGGTGTATCAAAAACAACTAAGTTAAATTAAGTAAATACAAAATATATTTTTAAATGTCAAATATTGAATGAAAATACACACGTATATAAATATCCTTCTTCCACCAATACCAATACAATGTTGTCATTTTTATTGGTGGAAGAAGGATATTTATATATGTGTGATTTTTGATACTATTTATATTCAATATTTGACATTTATAAAGATATGTTGTATTTACTTAAAGCACAACAAAACAAAATGTGTGTAGAGATATTAGAACACCCATTAGATTTTTTACTACTGTCTGTCCCCATTAGGGAGATTAACCCTCTCTATTTGTCCTGTTTACCATTATCATTTAAAGTGAAATGAAAAGAAAATCCCAAATTTTGGGTTGTAACTAGAAAAGGAAAAAAAACTGGCAGGGAGTTATAACCCTCCCTTACTGGTAAACAGAACAAATAGAGAGGGTGAATCTAATGGGGGCACAGACAACAATAAAACCTGTCAGGTATTCTAATCCCTCTCCACTCTATCCAAAACTAAAAAGGTTTTTCCTTTAGTAATCAACCCCAATGATTTTCATATGTAGGTTTCTATGCATTACTGTTGAGAACAGATCCAAAAAGGCAGAAACTCCTCAGAAATGCTGATTATATTTTACATTTCTGAAATACTGCATGCCTGGACCACTACTTAATTACTGTGTGCATTTAATTATTTATTTTCTTCTGTGAATTGACTTCAACGCCTTTTCATGCATTATTTACCAAATGTTTTGGGGGTTTAGTGGTAAATACTACAAAACAGGATAATGTATTGACAGTTTCAGGATTGCGTGTGATATTTAGGCAAAATGTGTCCTGCTTCTGTGAATGGAGCCCATTGATTCAAAACATCAAAGAATGATTAAAAAAATATTGATAAAATTTGTCTCATGGATAAAAAAACACAAATACAGAGACGATTACTCTAGGTTTATACAAGATGGGCATGCTCTCCATACTTCAAACAAACAGATTCCTACTTCTCCTGTACGACCTGTCCTGTACCCAAGCCTGAATAAAAACTGATGTTTTTTTCCAAAGGGCTTCAACCCAATATGGACTTTCTCCACATAGTGACTTTCTCTTGTTCTCTACATCATACATGATCATCATTTTCACTAGCTACTTTATCTAACTGTAGAATTTATGAACTCTCCTCTGAACAATTGATTGACAGACTTGTCTAACAGATATGTTCCCTCTCTCCACATTATACCTACAGATCCTCCCCTAAGTCCACTTCTTTGTTTCCCCTCTCTTCTTCTCTCTGCCTTTTGGTACTATACATTATTTAGATATTAGCAGCCATAAAAATGTGTGATATTCATTCAAGTGTCTTCTGTATCTGGCCTATTTTCTTTACCAACGTTACCACAGGTGTAAATATTTGTTTTGGTATATGAAATAAAAATTAGAGAATGCAAAAAAAATCATATGGAAAGAAAACAGACTTTTACTTGCACATGATTGGGTGAATGAAGTCAGCACAACTTCACCTCATTAATTAAGCTAAGTGAAATCTCTATTTGCAAAGCAACTTTCATTGAGCTTAGTGAATGAGGTAACCTGGTGCTGATTTCAGTTACCTAATCATGTTCAGCTTATGCTGAGCTTATTTGGGGCCATCATGGCAATAACTGGTGGCCCCACACGTTCAGATCCAACCCCTTAAATATAACCTAACCCTTGAAAGTAGCTTTCAATTAAACCTTGTAACAGCTTTCCTTTACCATTTTTATATCAGGACAAAAAGAATTATGCCAAAAATCCTTTGCTTCCAAAACTCCATCTGCCAAACTATCATGGTGAAAACCACTAAACCATCACTTGACAGCTGGCATATATGACCAATGTTCAGCCAACTTTTACCCAAGACTTACACGTTTTTGCACAAGAGTTACATAGAATAATGTATGAATCTTGGGTGAAAATTGGGTAAATGTTGAGTGAAAACATTGATAAATAGACCCCTAGATGTCAGACGGATGAGACCTGTTTTATTGATTAAAAAAACACTGGAAAATATTTTTTTTTATTTTGACCAGAAGGGTTTCCTAGTACTTTGCAGAATGAAGTGGTTCAATTATATGTCCTAATTCAAGACGTAGTCTAGCCTCACCTCTCCTGCAGGGGCAGCAGATTCTCATCAAATGAAGCCCCATTCCCAGACATTTGCTGACGCCTCTTCCAAATGCTGATTATTTTCAGTACTTGATCCTGAATGCTGGCCAGGAGTTGTAATGATTCTTCAATTAACAATACCCACTGCTGCAATAGAAACCAGATTTGTATGTTGCATGTGATCTTTTCAAAAGTGTTTAATATTAGTATGTCTTAAAAGAATTTAATTTCCTGCTGTTTCCTTGTTCAGGGGGCAACACCTTGATTTACAGAGATGGGAAATGACATGGACATTTAATAAGAATAGGGAACAATATAAATGAGAATGGCTAGGATTTACTTGCATGTCAATCTAAAAAAGCTGAAATGTGGTGAGTAGCTATTAAAGAATACATTGACTTGCTTCTAATGGTAGGAAGTTAGTACCTAATAACAATCGATCAGATCCTAAGCGATGTGATAATCTACCATTCTTGCTAATTATAATTTTTACACATACTAGCCAGTATTCTAGACAAATCTCTCTAGTGTCAGCTCGTATTATTAGTATTCTTTCAGGAACTATGACTGAATACTCTTTTGGACCTCTCTCTTCAAATGAAATGGTGTTTGCTATATATTGTGCCAGCTGCCAACGCCAAGCAAGCTGTGACATTGATGCACAAGGGACCTCAGATCACCTCAATTCCTGCACCTTCACACCTCAGATCATCCCATTTCCTGCACCTTCACACCTCACATCATGCCAATTCCTGCACCTTCACACCTCAGATCATCCCAATTCCTGCACCTTCACACCTCAGATCATCCTATTTCCTGCACCTTCACACCTCAGATCATCCCAATTCCTGCACCTTCACACCTCAGATCATCCCAATTCCTGCACCTTCACACATCCGATCACCCCAATTCCTGCACCTTCACACCTCATATCAACCCAATTTCTGCACCTTTACTCCTCAGATCAGCCCCAATTCCTGCACCTTCACACCTCAGATCATCTGATCACCTTGATTCCTGCATCTTTACCCCTCAGACCACCCCAATTCTTGCACCATCACCCCTCTGATCACCCCAATTCCTGTACTTTTACCCTTCAGATCAACCCAATTTCTGCACCTTCACCCTTCACATCAGTCCTAATTCCCGCATCTTCAGATCTCAAATAAGCACCAATACATGCACCTTCACACCTCAGATCACCTCAATTCCTGCACATTCACACCTCAGATCACCTTCATTTCTGTATCTTAATACCTCAGATCTCCCCAATTCTTGCACCTTCACCCCTAAGATCACCTCAATTCCTGCATCTTCACACCTCAGATCACTTCAATTCCTGCACCTTCACCCCTCAGATCACCTGAATTCTTGCACCTTCACATCTCAGATCACCCCCAATTCCTGCACCTTCACATCTCATATTACCCCAATTCCTGCATCTTCACACCTCAGATCACCCCAATTCCTGCACCTTCACACCTCAGATCAGCCCCAATTCCTTCACCTTTACCCCTTAGATCACCTCATTTCCTGCAATTTCACCCCTCAGATCAGCACCAATTCCTGCAGCTTCACCTCTCAGATCACCTCCATTCCTGCACTTTCACCCCTCAGATCAGCCCCGATTCCTGCACCCACCCCCCTCCCAGATTACTTCCATTCCTGCACCTTTACCCATCAGATCACCTAAATTCCTGCACCTTCATACCTCAAATCACCCCAATTCCTGCACCTTCACCCCTTGGATCACCTCAATTCCTGCACCTTGACATCTCAGATCACCCCAATTACTGCACCTTGACCCCTCAGATCACCTCAATTCCTGCACCTTCACATCTCATATCACCCCAATTCCTGCACCTTCACACCTCAGATCACCCCAATTCCTGCACCTCCACACCTCATATCCGTTCCAATTCCTGCACCTTCATACCTCAGTTCACCACAATTCCTGCACCTTCACCCTTCAGATCACCTCAATTCCTGCACCTTCACCCCTCAGATCACCCCAATTCTTGTACCTTCACCCCTCAGATCACCTCAATTCCTGCACCTCCACACCTCCCAATTCCTGCACCTTCACATCTCAGATCACCCCAATTCCTGCACCTTCACACCTCAGATCAGCCCCAATTCCTGCACCTTCACCCTTCAGATCACCCCAATTTCTGCACTTTCAACCCTCAGATCAACCCAATTCTGCACCTTCACACCTCAGATCACTTGAATTTCTGCACCTTCACAACTCAAATCACCTCAATTCCTGCACCTTCACATCTCAGATCACCCCAATTCCTTTACCTTCACACCTCAGATCACCCCAGTTCCTGCACCTTCATACATCCGATCACCCCAATTCCTGCATCTTCACACCTCAGATCACTTCATTTCCTGTACCTTCACACCTCAGATCACCAATGTCAGGGATCGCGGTGACAAGCGGGTCTGCGCATGTGCAGAACGCCGATTCATACTAGCCGGCAGGCACTAGGACCTGGGCGGCGCCGGCCGCGCATGTGCACTCGCGATCGTGGATGCTCACCTGGCACCAATGACAGGGCAGGGCGCACTATTTAAACCTGCCCTGCACAAACTCTCATTGACGTATGGTCTATTTTATCCTGTGTTCCTGTATACCTGCTATTGTGATTTGTTGCTGACCCTGCCTGATCCTGACCTCTGCTGACTTCTCCTGCTCTGACCCCCTGGCTCGTTTGACCTCTCTCCTGGATATCCCTAATCTGATCTGAACTCCTGTTACCGACCCGGCGAGTGACCTGACTACTCTTCTGCCTGCTGCCTTGTACTACGCTGACCCCACTGTTACCAACCCGGCCTGTTTGGCCACGCTCACTACTCTGCCATCCATCCATCCATCCTGCACGGATCCATCCATCCTGTACGGATCCAGCCATTCCTGCTCCAGCCTTCCGCCTCTTCACGTCAGGCTCTCTACCTGCATATACCTCTGGCGGGCGGATTCCTCTACCACAGGCAGGTGTGCTCAGGGGCCGCGACCTGGTCCCTGTCTGCTCCAAGTCTATCCCCACCATCAGGGGCCCTGGTGAACAAGCAGACTGGGGCTTAGACTCTGCGATCTGGGGAATCCAGTCCTGTGGACTGCTAGAGGTACCGCCAGGTAGTTGTTGACAACCTCATTTCCTGCACCTTCACACCTCAGATAAACCCAATTCCTGCACCTTCCCACTTCACATCAGCTGCAATTCCTGCACCTTCCCACCTCGGATCAGCCCCAATTCCTGCACCTTCCCACCTCATATCACCCCAATTCCTGCGCTCCTGCAGATCACCCCAATTCCTGCACCTTCACCACCACTACTACTTTTAGCAACCACTGACTAAACACAACTGGGTTCCCAAAGTCCCCCCTTACATCAGAGCCCCCCCCTTGTTCTTACATCAGGGTTTCTAGAGCCCTCCCCCTTACATCAGGATCCCCAGAGTCCCCCCCCCTTTTATTTCAGGGTCCCAAGAGCACCCCATGATATCTGAGTTCCCAGAGGCTGCCCACATTTACATCAGTCACCAAAGTCAACTCCTTATACTGGTGTCCTCAAAGTCCCCCCCCCCATTTACATCAGGGTCCCCAAAAGACCCCTCATTAAATCAGGATCCCCAGAGACCCTCCACTTTACATCAGAGTCCCTAGAGTTTCTCCCCTTTGCTTTAGGTTTCTAAGAGTTCCCCCCTTAAATCAGGGTCCCCAAAGACTCCTCCTTAAATCAGGGTCACCGGAGTCCCCCTACATTAAATCAGGGTCCGCTGAGTCCCCCTCATTAAATCGGGTCCAGAGATTCCCCCCGCATTAAATTGGGGTCCACAGAGTCCCTTGCATTAAATCGGGGTCTGCAGAGTCCCCCCTAAACACTCTATCATTAGGATCCTCTTGAATCAGGATCCCCAAATTTTCTTCCCCTTATGTCAGGGTTCCAAAAAGTCCTCCCACATTACATTAGGGTCCTCAAAGTCTCCCTACATTACATTGGGCTCCCAGAGTTCCCCTGCATTAAATCAGGATCCTTCTATCCAACCCAGCAGTACCTCAAATTAAGCAATAACCACATGTCGAACCCACCCATACATGTGTGCTGACACATACATCATGACATACAAACCCACACTTAATCACTCATCCAAAACCATGCACATACACAACCCCACCTGTGACAAATCACATATCTGCACTAACACACACCCACCACAACACCTATACCACCATCTGTGCCGATACATTTGCACACGTTACAACCACATATATAAAAAAACCATAAAACATACACTGCCACGCACAACATTTCTGCACATGTACACACAACCACACATGCACATACATACACACACTGCAACCTATTTGCCCACATATCAGCCAGCAAACTTGCAAAGTCACAACACCCCATTTATGAAACAATACACTGCCAGCCAGCCCTGTCCACCTGCGTTCATAGTCTAAGTCCAATACCCGCAAACAAACCAAACCCCCATGGACCCAGGCTGCAGAGGAGGTAGGGGAAAAAAACTAAACAAAAAGCAAAGCCATCAAAAAAAGGACAGCAGACAGAATGCTTACACATACCAGCTACCGCAGAGGGCAGTCACTCCTTCTTCACAGTGTGTCCCAGCTTCCATGTAGTGCAGGACTGCAACCATTGCTTCCCCCTTATAGTAGTCCCACAGGACCCATTGAAAAATATGCAAAAAAAACCCTGAGCGCAGATTTCTACTACCCTCAGATGTGAATCAGATGTTCTTGGAAGGGGTGCTTTTAAGCAGCAAGGATGACCAGAGAGGAGAGGTGAGGGTTAAAAAAAAAAAAACTCATTAATCAAAGTCCATAGCAATGCTTCCCATCTATGCTGATGTGACTTCTGTGAAATAATATAGAAGTCTATGGAGCTGAAATGGCACAGGAACCTTTTCAAAAATCACACTGTGCTGAGAAGGGCACTATTGGATATAATGTGTTTTCCCTGGTCATGCGATTCTGTGAACCATTATAGATGCGTTTTGATGCGGTTTCCATTCATTTCAATGGAGGAATGTGTTTTTGGTGCATTTTTTTAACCACGTCAAACAAGCACTAAATATTTAGTAAGCAGGGCTTTGAAAAACGCAATGGACCTGCA